TAATACCATTTGCAGCAACATGGATGTCCTAGAGATGATCATACTAAGTGAAGCAAGTCAGAGAAGGCTATCTTACAATATTGCTTTTATGTGGAATCTAAAAAATATGGTACAAGTGAATGTATTTACAAAACAGACTTTCAAAAACTTATGGTTATCAAAGGGGAAATGTGATGTAAGGGAGGGATAAATTAGGAGTTTGGGATTACCGTATACACACCACTACACGTATATAACCAATAGGGACCTACTGTATAGCACAGAGAATTCTGCTCAGTATTCTGTAGTAACCTATATAGGAAAAAATCTGAAAAAGAAGGAATATTTGTATGTGTATAAGTGAATCACTTTGCGGTCCACCTGAAACTAACACAACATTGTAGATCAAGTACTCTAATAAAATTATAAACTCAGAACTGAGAGCAGCTTCCAAATAGCAAGGAAAGCCATAGTTTTAAAAGGTCCCTTTCACACCTGACTAAAAATACTAAATTTCTTCCATAATTTCAGTTCTGGGGGGAAAAAAAAAAACAAGACCTAAAAAATACACTACCATGTAGCTTCTTACAAACATCTCTACTGTTAATCTAGGAAACATGTCACCACTAGAAAATGCAAAGGTTTCACTCTGTGTGGTGCTAGAACAATCTTTTGACTTCATTGTTCTGTTGGGTTTTTTTTCTGGTGGAGTAGTTGATTTACAATGTGTCAGTTTCTGGTGTACGGCAAAGTGGTTCATTTATACAAATACACATACTATTTCAGACTCTGACTGAAGATACAAATCATCATAAGCAGGGCTTCCAAGGTGGCACTCATGGTGAAGGATCTTCCTGCCAATGCAGGAGACACAAGAGACACAGGGTCAATCCCTGGGTGAAAAGATCCCCTGGAGGAAGAAATAGCACCCCACTCCAGTATTCTTGCCTGGAGAATTTCATGGGCAGAGGAGCCTGGTGGGCTGTAGTCCACGGGACATAACTAAGCACACACATGCACACATTTCAATCAATGTAGGAAAAAACCTTTAACACGAACGCCCATTCTTGATAAAAACTTAACAAATTAGATATAAAAATAACGTACCTCAACATGATAAAGGCCACATGTAACAGGACCACATGTGTATGTGTTATTCTCCCAGTCTGTCCGACTCTTTGTGACCCCAAGGACTATAGCCCACCAGGCTCCTCTGTCCATGGAATTCTCCACGCAAGACTACTGGAGTGAGCTGCCTTTCATTTAACATCAAAATTTATAATGACAGGTTGGAAGCTTTTCTGCTAAGATCCAGAAGCAAGAGAAGAGTGCTCATTCTCACCACTCTTATTCAACATAATATTAGAAGCCTTAGCCAGAGCAGTCAGGCAAAGGATGAAATTGTTTCTATTTGTGAATGACATTATTTTATATAGAGAAAATCCTAAAGACTCTACCTAAAAACTGCTGGTGAATTCAGTGAATTCAGTCAAGTTCTTTGATACCAAAATCAGTATACAAAAGTCAGTAATGTTTCTATATACTAACAACAAATTATCTGAAGGATAAAATAATTCCATTTATAATAATATCAAAAAGAATAAAATACTTGGAAATAAATCTATCCAAGGAGGTAAAAGATCCATATGTTGATAACTATAAGGCATTGATGAAAAAAATTAAAGACAAAGGTATTCCGTGTTCATGATTTATAAGAATTGATACTGTTAAAATGTCCAAAGCCATCTATAGATTCACTGCGATCTCTGTCAAGATTCCAATGGCATTTTTTATACTGATAGAAAAACCATTCTGAAATTTGTATGGAGCCACAAAGACCATGCAGAGTCAAAGCAATCCTAAGGGAGAACAATAAAGCAGGAGGTATCTTCATTTCCTAATTTCATACTATATTACAAAGCTGTAGTAATCAAAACAGTGTGGTCCTGGCATTAAAAACAAGCACATAGCCCAATGGAATGGACTCTAGAACCCAGAAATAAATCCATGTATATATATTTGATAAGGGAGCCAAGAATACCCAGTGGAGAAGAGACACTTTTCTTTATAAATGGTTCTAGGGAAATGTAATATTTACATGCAAAAGACAAACTAGATCCCTGTCTTACACCATTCACAAAAATTACTCTAAATGGATTAAAGACCAGAAACCATAAAATTCTTAGAATAAAACACAGGGTAAAAGTTCACTGATACGTGTCTTGTCATAGATCCCTTTTGGATGTGATACCTAAAGCACAAACAACAAAATAAACAAATGGGCCCACATCAAACTAAAAAAGCATCTGCACAACCAAGGAAAGAATCAAAATGATGTAAAAGCAAGCTCTGACTCATACAACTCAATAGCAAAAAAAGAAAAAAACTAATTAAAAAATGGGCAAAGGACCTGAATAGATGTTGTTCCAAACAAGGTATTTAAATGCCCCACAGCTGTATGAAAAGATGCTCAACACCACTAATTATGAGGGAAATGCAAGTCAAACCCACATGGAGGCGTATCAAAAGAGTATTTGTCTGCTCGGTTGTATCCAACTCTTTGGATTGTCCAAGTCTTTGGACTCCGTGGACTGTTGCCTGCCAGACTCTCTGTCCATGGAATTTCCCAGGTAGGAATACTGGAATGGGTTGCTATTTCCTACTCCAGGGGATCATCTTGACTCAGGGATCAAACCCGCATCTCCTGCTTGGCAGGTGGATTCTTTACCAAGGCAACATCTGGAGAATGGCTATTATTAAAAAGGCAAAAGTATTGGCAAGGATGTGGAGGAAAAAGAACTCTTGTGCACTGTTGGTGGCAATGTAAATTGGTGCAGCCAGTGTTATTTACAGTATTTGCAGTATTATTTACATCAGCCAAGACATGTCCATCAGTGGGTGAATGGGTAAAGAAAATGTGATATATATATATATATATATATATATATACACACACACACACACACACAATGGGATGGTATGGAATGGTATTCACCCATTAAAAAATAGGAAATCCTAGCACTTGCAAAAACATGGATGGATCCTTAAGGGCTTTTGGAAAGTTAGACAGAGAAAAACAGACACTATGATCTGATATGTGTATTCTTTAAAAAAAAAAAAGATGAGATTGGTATTTCCCAGAGGCAGGGTGTAGATGTGGGGGAATTGGATAAAGGTGGTCAAAGGTTAAAACTTATAGTACAATAGAAGTTCTGGGTGTATAATGTACTGCATGCTGACTGTAGTTAACACTTATATTGTATATTTGAAAGTTGCTAAGAAAGTAAATCTTTTCATCACAAAAAAATTTTGAATCTTACGTGGTGACACATTAATTTATTGTGGTAATCATTTCACAGTATTTACATATATCATGTCATTTCTTTGCATAACTTCAGTTCAGTCGCTCAGTCATGTCCAAGTCTTTGCGACCCCATGGACTGCAGCTTGCCAGGCCTCCCGGCCCATCACCAACTCCCGGAGTTTACCCAGACTCGTGTCCATTGAGTCGGTGATGCCATCTAACCATCTTATCCTCTGTCATCCCCTTCTCCTCCTGCCTTCAATCTTTCCCAGCATCAGGGTCTTTTCCAGTGAGTCAGCTCTTTGCATCAGGTGGCCAAAACATTTGGAGTTTCAACTTCAACATCAGTCCTTCCAACAAAAACTCAGGACTGATCTTTAGGATGGACTGATTGGATCTCCTTGCAGTCCAAGGGACTCTCAAGAGTCTTCTCCAACACCACAGTTCCAAAGCATCAATTCTTCGGACTCAGCTTTCTTCACAGTCCAACTCTCACATCCATACATGGCCACTGGAAAAACCATAGCCTTGACCAGACGGACCTTTGTTGGCAAAGTAATGTCTCTGCTTTTTAATATGCTGTCTAGGTTGGTCATAACTTTCCTTCCAAGGAGTTAATGTCTTTTAACTGTATACCTTAAACTTGTACAATGTTATGTCAATTATGTCTGAATATGATTGACAAGTCGTTAAATGCAAAGTTTTAATATATGACACATCAAAATAATGAACTGAAAATTCATACAGTGTTTTGTATTCCCCATAACTCAAGCACCTATTTATACAATGTCTGAAATTCTTTTATTTCACTGATAAATTATTAATTTATTCAATAAATTATTCGATAGCCAGGCAGAATTATAAATATAAATTTTCTTGTAGAGGTTCAGCATGTATTGGTTTTGTTGCCTTAACCAGTTATTTTTTTATGTCTAGCTTTGTGTGGTTTGTAATGACTGTGATTAACATTTCCCTTCTGGTAAGGTATTTTATTAATAAAATTGTAAGAACAGTATTGTAAGTTACTGGACAAAGTACTTACTTCACAGCTGGAAAAAACTGATCTACATAAAGAAGGCAGTCTAGTATGGGTAGTTAAGAGGAGGGTCCCTGGGCCAGCCCATTGGTGTGAATTCTAACTCTGCCTCCAGTGGCCTCTGTGTGAATCTAGGGCAAGTTAATTGTTTTATTTATCTGTGACTCTTTTTCCCCACCTGTTAAATGAAGATGGATATGTAGAATATCTCCTGGCGTGTTACAAGATTGAATGTTAACATATATAAGACTTGAAGCCAGGCCTGGCACATGATAGGTGTCATCGTATGGTTCATTAGTGACATGTTGCATTAAAACTGTCTTGATTGCATCTCAAGTGCAGTTCTTAAGAACAGCATTTTAGGGATGTTTGAATTCATTCCAAGGTATTAAATGCTTTAAATGGTATCCTGCCCTGCCCGAACCAAGGCTTAAAATAAAAAACTTTAAACTTCTTAACTCCCTATCAGAATTAGATACTAAAATTCCCACTTACTCTTTGCTTATAAGCCTTTACTGACCTAATGGGGCCTGTTAGGTAAGGTTCCTCTCCCGCTGCCCCATCCCCTCTGATACATAGGTCGCCAGGTTACCCTTGTCAGCATTGACCCAGTTGAGCTCCTAGAAGCTGTTAGAGGCTCATATAAACTCTTAACAGTAATGTGGTATTTTTAATTTGCAGATAATACAGCAGACACACCAGGTAGTAGAAACCGAGCAAAACAAAGAAATTGAGAAATGGAGAAGACTTGCACAGCTGAAGAATCGGGAGCTGGACAAGTTCCGAACAGAGTTAGACTCGATCTTGGACGTTCTCCGAGAGCTGCACCGGCAGGGCGTGGTTGTGCCAGCCGCTCTGGCAGAAGTGAATGCACCAGAGTATTAGTAGAAACGCACATGTCACGCGACCTCACAGAGAGGCCTGCAGATGGTTGGGGTCCCTGTCAGAAGGAGGCTTTTGAAAAAAGTGATACAGTATGTTGCTGGAACACAAGAACAACATTTCAAAATAAATTATATTTTACCAGCTAGGGGAAAATAAAAGCAGCATTAATGGTGTATTTTACTGGAAAAAATTAGTTATCAACATTTTAAATAATTTAGACAGTCCCTTTATGGCAGATGATTAGAACTGGTATTATTTATTGCAAAAGGCCTCACTTACACACTAGATATGGGAAGACAACAAAATTGCAGATATTTGGCCAATATTGACTAGGTGTGTATTTTTAATTCTTGCCCAGAAGAACAGCTCCTCTTTCTCACAGAAACGGGGGGCAGTGTGAGCACTGTGGCTCAGACAGTCACCAGTGTAATAGTGTTTCATGTTCATTCTGACAAGTAGGTAGATAGTGAACTCTCGTGTTCTCCCAGATTTCCACCTCTAGGTGCCTCATTTTGCACCTGATGCAAGGTGAAAGGTATACATCACAACTAATAGGGGAATTTGATTTATTCAGTTTTGTTTATGCTGTGTGTCTCAAATGCCAGTCCCTCTTTTGTAACTCTAAACAGAATGCAACATTTTTACTTTATTTAAGAAGTAAATATATGTTCACTAAAGAAATTAAAAGCATGCCAGATTATAAAATAATTAAAAGTAGCCAGATTATTCTCTTACTTCACAGTAGCGTTTCCAAAAGCAGATAATAGGCACGTGAGATACTGGCGAGTGAGAGCTGTCGCTGGGGCTACCCCTGGTGGCTGCTTTGTTTTCAGCTGTTCTGGCTCACTGTTGTCCAATAGGAGGGTCCTATGAGCCACGTGTCATTTAAAAATTTTTATAGCCGCATTAAAAAAGGTAAAAAGAAACAAATGAAATTAATTTTGGTAATTTATGTGATATATCTAAAATAATATAAAAATTGGGATTTTACATTCTCTTTTTCATCCCAAGTTTCCAAAATCAGGTAAGTTTTCATTTACAGCACATCTCAGTTTGAACCAGCCACATTCTAAGTGCTCAATAACCACATGCCAGCAAGTGGAATTCTAGAATAATCATTACAAAGTGAAGTACTTTATAAAGGACATGTGAAGTAGAACTTGGTAAACTTATAGGTAGTAAATGTGAAATGTGGAAATCAAATTAAGGAATACAATTAATGTATGTATTAATGTCCAGCATTTTTAATGTCCTTTTCCTAAGGGTAGGAAAAGGTAGGAAAAGCATTAATTATAGTTTGCTATTTTTTTATGTGAAAGAGTTGTAAGTTATAAACTATTTTGGTTATTACTTTAGTGTGTTTTGTATACTTTTTATCTGCAAACCTATTCATTTATAACTGTACCTTCCCTTTGTCTTTCTGACTGACCCTCCATGGGCCATTCATTCTAAGCACAAGCATGCTGAGTCTGAAACACCAACAGTACAGACATCAAACAGATGATCAGTTCCAGAGAAGGTACGCCCTGTTTCTGTGAGGACTCCATATTTTGGAATAAGCCATACACGTGACACAGCTTCGATTTCATTTACAGAGTAAAGGTCCATATCCGCTATCAGAATTGCTAGTTACAGCCAGAAACCTCAGAGACCGTATCTCGGCCCTTCGTTTTTGCACTGAGGGTCTAGGATGAGAACACAGAACAACACGTTTAGACCATCTTGAAAAAAAGAAAGGCAGAAAAGCTTTTATGAAAATTCAAACTCCAGAGACTATCAGTCCCCTTCCACCAGTTCTGTCCCCTCACGATGTCATAAGACACCTGCATCCACAGGCTTGCCAGCCCTGGGAAGGGCAAAGTTCAAGATTCTGCTCAAGATTCAAGGTTGCTGCTCACACCATTGCTTTTGTGTGAGCAGAGAGGTTACGATCAGATCTATTACTTGTGAGCCCACAGCATTCCATAACTAGCTGTACCCATCAACCCTTAGAAATCCAGGCTTTAATATTAGGGTTCCATTCCATACTGGAAAAATTCTAAATCAGTGACTAAATACCAAGAAGATGGTAGCCAAACCTAAGGGTGCTGATTGGGGAGGTCCAAAATCTACAGGTACCTTATTTAACAAGTCATTTTAATTTTACCCGAGATTAAACACTTAGTAGTTATGCAATGGCTATCCTATTTTGAAGAACCCCTTAGCAGTGAATGGGCTTCCCTAATAGCTCAGTTGGCAAAGAATCTGCCTGCAATGCAGGGGACCCCAGTTTGGATCCTTGGTCAGGAAGATCCCCTGGAGAAGGGATAGTTCACCCACTCCAGTATTCTTGGGCTTCCCTTGTGGCTCAGCTGGTAAAGAATTGGCCTGTGATGCAGGAGACCTGGGTTCGAGCCCTGGGTTGGGGAGATCCCCTGGAGAAGGGAAAGGCTACCCACTCCAGTATTCTGGCCTGGAGAATTCCATGGACTGTAAAGCCATGGGGTTGCAAAGAGTCGGACGTGACTGAGCAACTTTCTCTTTCACTTTAGCAATAAATGGTTAGAGGAGTGAAGTTTGAAAGTGTTCTAATCCCCGTGCTGTATGCTAAGTCACTTGAGTTGTGTCCGACTCTGTGACCCTATGGACTGTAGCCCTCCAGGCTCCTATGTCCATGGGGATTCTCTAGGCAAGAAGACTGGAGTGGGTTGCTATGCCCTCCTCCAGGGGATCTTCCCGACCTAGGGATCAAACCGAGTCTGATGTCTTCTGCATTGGTAGGTGGGTTCTTTACCACTAGAGCCAAATCCCTGCTACTGATCATTCTGCTCTAGTATTTGAACCCATTAATTTCAGCCTTTTTCAGTTTCTATCGAAGGGTCCTTTAATGAAAAGCACATGTAATCCTTCTCAGCACCTGTTCAGCTAGCTAAGGGATTAGTTCCTAGCCCAAACTAATCTATTTCCTTCTCTCTAAAGCAAAGTATTGGAAGGACTGATGCTGAAGCTGAAACTCCAATACTTTGGACAGCTGATGTGAAGAACTGACTCACTGGAAAAGACCCTGATGCTGGGAAAGATTGAAGGCAGGAGAAGGGGACAACAGAGGATGAGATGGTTGGATGGCATCACTGACTCAATGGACGTGAGTTTGCACAAGCTTCGGGAATTGGTGATGGACAGGGAAGCCTGGCATGTTGAAGTCTGTGGGATTGCAGAGTCAGACACGACTGAGCGACTGAACTGAAAGCAAAGTAGGTCTGGGTTGGTTGAAAGCTTCAATCACAATCACCTAAATAGTGCAAATAGGAGGACTCTTTCCCACCAATGCCTACTTTATAGGACTGTTGTAAGAAATAAGTTTGAAGAGCAGCATTATCAAGGGATCTACGGAGGAAAGAGGCACCACGTTCCATCAGTGAAATAAAATGGGTTGTTAGTAAATTCAGTAGCAAGAGGCTAGACTTCGTGGAAAAGCAAACAAAAAAGGGAGTGTGGCAGTAATTGTACCAGGTAAGCCTCCTTGGAGCACAGAGGTGAAGAGGCAAGAACACGGCAGCAGTATGACCCAGTGAGCTAGTCTTAAATAGCCTGCCCTGAACGTAAACCCTTTCTGTGGCCTTCCAGTGTCCCCGCCATAGGGTATTGATAGTACAGTGAGAAAGACCTGATGCAGAGGGCCTATGCAACTCCTTAGAGAAAGGTCTGGAAGGAACTTGGATTTGTGAGGCATGGAAAAGTGAAGTCATTAGAGAAGAACTGTTTACAAAAGGGTTAAGCTGACCTCATTGGAAAAGCCTGAGTGGACTGAAGATCCTGGTTGCTTTTCTCCCACCAGTGGCAGGAAGTGTAAAGATATTTGCATGCCCACGTCTTACCTGTTTTGCGCATCATCCTGGCCGTGTGCAAGGAGCACTCATGAGATCAGGCAGGTGCTTACTCCCCTGACTTGGTGTCAGAACCTTCATAGGAACCAAGTTCCTCACACATAATAGGGGCTTAGTAAATTTATCACCTTCTGTTGTCCTTGGACTTTGATCTACATGCAACCCTTTGCTCCCATCAATCCCCAAAGATCATATCTACTGTCATACTCACAGCACAGTTGTGCTGCTTCCAGTAGGATAACATTGGATCTACATCTCTACTGTTCCTTTCTCCTGAGTGCCAGCCCCTATTCCCAGTTCCTGCCAGAATTACCTAGTGTCCTCATAAAACTCAAATGTGTTTGAAACCAACTCCTTTACTTTTCTCCCTAAAACCAGCTGCCCACTCCCCTGGGTTTCAACATTCTCCAGTCAGTTCCAAACTCTAGGGCATCCTTGACCGTCTTTGTCAACCTGGGATGCTGTAACATCATAGATTACCGTAGATGGGGTAGCTTAAACAGGGAGCATATTCCTCAAGTTCTGGAGGCTGAGAAGTCTGAGGGCAGGGTGTCGGTGCTTCCTTGCTTGAAGAGAGCAGACTTATTGCGTCCTCACATGACCGAGGGTAGAGAGACACAAGCTCTCTTGAGACCCTTATAAGAGCACTGATTCTATTATTCCTGAGGGGTCCACTCTCGGAACCTCATTTAATCCTATCTACCTCCCAAAGGCCCTGCCTCCTAACACTGGGAGACAGGGTTTCAGCACGAGAATTTTGAGAGGACACACATACTCAGTTTACACATCGACTAACTCTCCCCAACGTGGAGTCGTTAAACCTGTAGCCAGTTTCTCCAAAATAAGGCTTATATCAGTCTGTCTTTTTCCATTCCCATATCCACCACCACAGAAGCCCAGTCACCATTTTACTTATTTTTCTGGTAGAGGTTTAATCTATTTCTCTACTCCAATGTTCTCCTCACTCCAAACAGTCTGCAAAACAGCACTGCCAGCTCTGCTTCAGCACCCCATGTTCCCCCTTCACCCTGTTGTTTTTTAGGTGCAAATGTCAGAATCCTCACCCCAGCCTCCCTCTCCATCAGAGCGTCTCCACCTCTTACACACATCCTCCCTATGTTAGTTTTCTATTAC